GGGTTTAGGGGGTTTTAGGGGTTTAAGGGTTGTAGGGTTTTAGGGGTTTAAGGGTTTTAGGGTTTTAAGGGTACGGTTTAGAGGTTTAGGGGTTTAGGTTTGGACTTTCGCATCTCGGACTGCGCCGGCGAGGTGGGTTCGCACAAGCACCCCGGTATGCAATGAGTTTACCCACAGGCTCCATAGCAGTTCCTTTTTGTGGTTTATATTTAGGATCCTATAAGGTAATCCCCAAAAGGAACTACAATGGGGCCTATGGGTATACTTGCAACCTGATCTCGCACAGCCACACATCTCATCCATGCCTTCCTGGAAGCAATGCCTGGCTTTGGGACGCTAGGGCTCCCAAAGCATGTCAGGCCTGCTTAAGCATAGAGATAAACAAAGATCCAAAGCGTAAAGAACCTTGACAGTTCATAACTGTTCAAAACTGGCTTCAGTGCCCTTGGCTAGCCCGTTCTCGGTGCAATCGGAGTAAGAAGCTACGCTGGGGTGCTACCAGAAATTACACCTCCGACGAGATTCAAAGCCGAAACGGAATGAAGGCTGCGATTTTACAGCTGCAGCTCGCCCACGGTGCATGCTGCCAAGCTGCCCGAGTTGGCCCCGAAGAGGCCACCGCCGCCGCTGGCAGCGCTACCTCGACTCAATGGACGCAGGCGCTATCCAACCCGCTCCCCACTTTAAGCTGAAAGAATGCAGGTTGATTCAGGTCGGCGGCCATGTAACTACTCTGGGCTTGCGTCTTCAGCTGCATGCAGCGACTGACATTGAAACTGAGGAGGAACATATCCGCAAGTGCGGAAAACTGAACGGTGGAATCAATGGCTGCCTGCTTCTGCCTCCGACCTTACGCCAAGCCACCCGAGCTAGCACCGAAGAGGCCACCCCCGCTGGAAGCTGGGGTGGCCCCAAACAGTCCTCCACCGCTGCTGGCAGCGCCACCTCCACAAACGTGGCACTACTTGTCATGTAACTCCAAAACGACTTGCTTGCTACGCTGCCACCTTTGCCGTCATGATCTGCACCAAAGTGGCACAATAAGTATTGTTAAATATAAATGAGTAGTGTCACTCGTATTATTTCGTCAGCGGTAGTAATACTACCATCATGAGCAAGTAATGGTTGTGCTTCCCAGCTGGGCACGGGCCCCCAACGAGGTTTCTTGCTCTCTACGTATGAGAATGGAGTTTCAAAATTGACAAGCGGTGTACATGTTAAGAATAACAATAATAATAATAATAAATATATTTTTTTTAAAAAAAAAATATATATATATATAGATGGATGCTGTTCCTTGTCGTGGTTGCAGCCCGTAGCTCGAAAATCGGCTTGGCGCGATCGTGCGCGCGCACGGTTTTAAACACATTCCCACCTTGAAGCCTTGACAAACCTTCTCACACTACTTTGTCGCCCTTGCCCTGGCCCTTGTGCGCGCTTGCCCCATGCTGGTTTTGGAGCAGGTCCTAAACCTGCATCAGGTCAAAAGGCCGGGGGTTAGAACAACTCTCAGATATGGATAGCTGTCGTATTAACATATGGTAAACAACATTCAGCCGAGATCGGACACCATCAAGTCATGACTGCGAAAAGCTGCGTGGGGGGATTCGTGGAAGCACCAACTTCGAGTTTGCTGCAAAGCTGCCCGAGCCAGCACCGAAGAGGCTCCCGCCGCTAGAGGCCGGAGTGCCGCCAAAGAGGCCACCACCACTGCTGGCAGCGCCACCTCCCATGGCCAGAATTAATCATTCAGGTACAGAGGTTCCTGTAGAGGCCCGTGTGTCAGGGTTATTTTTAAGGGTCCCTTTGCTTCAGCCGTGGCATATACATTAAACGATCTCGACAACTATCATCGAATCCGGAAGTGGGCCAGACTTGTTTTGTACAGAATTCCGTACTTCCGGCCAGCATGGTGAAGCTTTCCGCGGAGTGTTTCGTCACAGTTTGCCACCAAAACCTACACTCTCCTTTCAATCTAAAACCCCGAAACTCGCATTTTCCCGGTTAAGCCGCCCGAGCTCGCTCCGAAGAGCGGATTGGCTGCAGTAGCTCCGAAGAGGCTGCCGCCGCTGCTAGTGGCACCACCTGCGGAACTTGGAGATGAAGGGGCTAAGGCTTTTCTAGGGTTTACGGTTTAGGGGTTTAGGGTTTACCAGGATTCGGGGTCAAACGGCTCCATGGCGGACATGCCTGACACGCAGCAATTGCTCATCCTCTTAGTCTGCGTAAGACCCCGTCTGCCTGAAGTTCCTGCTCCAAAGAGGCTGCCGCCAGTGGCTGCGCCAAAAAGGCTCCCACCGCTGCTTGCAGGGGCGGCGCCGAACCTTGGCTGGATGGTGGCCTCCTCAACAACGGAGCTCACAAGGATAATTTTGGGCCATTTTGGCGCTATGATGCTGCAGAGCAGTGCACAAAGAAGTCCGAGAAACAAGCTTCCTCCCGAGCCAGCGCTCCCTCCGAAGAGGCTACCACCGCTGGAGGCTGCAGTGCTTCCAAAGAGGCTACCGCCGCTGCTGGCAGCGCCACCTTCCCACGAATGGCGACACCATGGACCGGATTGAAAGAAGGCTAGTGACTGGTGCTAGGTGCTACTGTTGCCAGTACTGCTGCTACTGCCACTACTACGACTACGACTACGACGACGACCACCACGCTACTCCTCCTACTACTCCTATGACTCCTGCTCCTTATACCAGTCCGACTAGTCCTATAGTTACTTTTAGACTAGTCCTGCTGCCAGTCCTCCTGCTATAGCCCTACCACTAGTCGTGTTCCCAGCTTCTGATTAACTGTTTCTACAACCACTTTAAAAGGCCCCTGACCAACAACTCCGTACCCCTGCTCCAAGCACCATGACAGTATGATCCTTGCGGTAGCCACTATTCAAGTTTGCTTGATCGATAGGGTCTACAGCAGTCATTATCCCCAAGAGGAATAGGGCGAAGGAAGCCGCCAGTATTTCAAAGCGAAGGGTACGACAAAGCTCGACGCTGTAGCATTGCACAGCCACCTAGCCCGGCCACCCACATAATGTAGACCCTCACTCACAGAATCCTTAACATATCCCAATCAGGGACCATGATTTTCAAGTGCCTGAGCCTGCGCCGAAAAGGCTACCGGAAGCTGCAGTACTCCCGAACAAGCTGCCGCTGCTGGCCGCGCCGCCTTCGAAGTAGAGGTACTCGACAGTTTGCGAGCTTAGCACCTATATAGCTCCTATCTATAAACCCTAGCCCTAGAAATTCTTGAAGTTTGGAGTCTCGCAACGCTGACCTCCAGGGGTTCGGGATTTAGGGAGGGATGTGGGAAGTTCGTGCACGAAAACCGTCAGGTGTGGCTCGAAATGATTCACGCTTGATCGGTCCACGCGCGGCAACGCCCCAAAATGCCAACTGATTGATATAGCTACCTCGATTCACCAAAAGAATCAGGCATGCTTCCAGGTCAACACTGGGCACATCGACACATGCTGCGACATAGGCCACACATTTTGGAACTCCGTGACAAGCAGCTCCACTTACCCTGGGCACCTCCGCTTGTTCCGAACATGGCCGGGCTCGTCCCGTCTTGGACTGAGAAATGCAGCGGAGAATAGCAGGTCAAAGATCGCATGGGAAGGTTGTTCCGGCAGCTTCCGATCGTTGCTGCCCTCTCGTGATGACCTTATAGACTTACAGTGGCAGCACTGTGAATAGACGAAAGCGGCCGGTCATCGGTTGGACCTTCGCCGAGGTTTGTGATGCCGCTACATTGCAGAGGGGGAGGTCAACCCGCACAGATGCCAGACATATCAAAAAGTCGAGTGATGATTTTGGTTGGGAAAAGCTCGGGCAAGTCTGAGCTCACAGCTTCGGGGTGAAACGTCGAATTCAAAGATTTACTGGGTTTCTCATCATTCCTACCCCTGCTTTTGAAGCAGGGTCTGTACAAAAAATGCTCGAACTAGATTCGTGCACAGTTTGGAAGACCATTCTCACACACTAAAGCTTGTAAAGTCCCTCTGTCCACCTGTACCTCACAGCATCAAAAGCAACCTCAGAACATGATGGTGGCACCCTTCTTGCTCCGGGTTTTGCACTCCTCTTGGAAGGCCATGGCTCCACGTATGCGAGAGTCGGTCGAACAGTCGATCAGCAGGGGCAGCACCGCCAGAGTCACGGTGGCGCAGCTAAAGGCTAAGCCTTGGTGGCCCTAAAACTACCAAGATCCTTGAAGCTTCTAGGCACGAGTATAACCCTAGGGTTCCCCAACCGATTTTTCGCGTGGAACTCCCCCCCAACCCCAGCCCCAGTCGCAGTTTGCAGGCCAGCTGAACTGACGTCCCCAGCCACTGAACCAAGATGAAACAGTCTTTTACTATGCACTAAAGATAAGAACGATAATAATGGTACTAGTAGAAACAACAATAAAAATAGTATTAACAGCAATAAAAATGCAATAAACATGATCCAGGAACCCAAGCTCTCGAGCAGGGACCAATGCTGATTACAAGCTTCGGCATTGCTAACACAGGGCTCGGGCCAGACGTCATACCAGCCATGCGAGGCATTGGGCAATCGGCTCTCGGGCCAGCCATCCAACAAGAGAAGTGCGGAGAGCTCATCGATGACCTGAGGGTTGGGAGCAGGGATGCTCCGGCCACAAAGCCCATTGATGGTCCCCTTGAACTCGCGGCCCTTCGTGGCGTTGGTGGAGCAGCGGTAGACCGGCTCCAGCAGGGGATTTTGCACGCGGCAGCTGACCATCCGCAAGTTGGTGCAAAGGGCCCTGGAGGTGGCCACGGCCCAACCAACGACCTGATTCTGATTCAAGCATCCGGCCGAGATCCTATATCGTGTAGTGCAAGGAGCCCACTGCAGAAACACGGGGGCAATACGGTAGGTCTCCATGAAGCCCGGGGGAACCGTGGGCTCCTCCTCATTGCTGAAAGGCTCCCTGTTGTTTACAATCTCAGCATCTCGGTAGCGACTAAGCCTGGGAACATTCCGGTTGTGAACCGTCTTCTCCAGTGTTTCGGTGATGCCCTTCGTCAGGTTCAGGGCCACAAAGCCATCAAAAGCACGGAAGTACTTGTAGGAGCCCAAAGTCAACTCCGTGAGACTGATGTCTTCCAGTCCCCCCTCGGACTCCCCGAAGGCCAGCCGCTCCCCGGGGCCGAAGTACATCAAGACGACGCTAGGCACAGAGGTGAAGTAGCACATGCGATAAAGCACAAAGTAGATCTTCCAATCTACACCGGTCTCCGGGACCATGAGGCCTGAATACCCGGCGAGTACTGGAACGGCAGTGTAGAAATGAGTGCCGACTAGAAAGGTTAAGGTAGCGACCGGCAAGGCTTGGCCAGACAGCCACATCTGCGGAGAGTTCCAAATTGTCGTCATCCACAGCAGCACAATAAAGTTTACCACTGTCACGAAGATGGTTAAGGCTCTTCCTAATGTGCTGTTTAATGTCCGCTCTAGCGCTGACCTCGGCTTGGCAACCAGAAAATCGTTAGGAATGGCCTTCTTGGTTCTTCCTGGACTTTGCGGTGGCGCCGGTCGGTTTGGCACCGGCACGCCCTTGATGCCGGTGAGCTTTGCAAGCTCCATGTCGATGGTTTTCTGTCGGTATGCATCCTGCTTTTGCTGGCGCTCCTTCTGCAGCCTTGCCTCCTCATCCTCATCTTCGGAAGACTCATCTCCGGCCTGGAGTGCCAGCACAGGCATGGCTGACGATGCCTGGACTTCTACAACTACTCGAGACAGCTGTGTTCTGTGCCAGGCGCGGCGGGCGTGGATGAAGGTTGCAGAATAGCTGCGGGGACAAGAGGTGGAAGTGTTGGCGCTCCACGACCACCACTACCGCCACACCAGTAACAGATGTATCAACTGGACCATGACTACAAACGGTGTGAACACTACTCGCATGTTCAATCCTGCAGGTGCAAGTCCTGCTCCTCGACATGCGAAATGCGAAGTTGTCATCAGCACGCAGCAAGCTCACAAAGCAGACTGAGCTTTCGTCGACTTCCTTTTCCGGTATCTGGATCTTCTTGAGGGTCGGGGCCTCAAGACGCGTCAAGGAGCGCCTTGAGCGCTCTTACATGAGTTGGATTCTTCAAACAGAGGCTGTGTGCAGAACGAGCTCGCACAAAGTAGAATGGGGAAAAAAACATATCCGTACTCGCATGGGCATAGTGCGCTCCGCACAAGACATTGTGCAGCTCAGAACCGAGCGGGCTCCGGTACCAACGCAGTCATGACGCAGGAACCGGGGCGAGAAATATCTTGGAGAATCGAACGACTATGCAGAGTGAGCCGTTTGTTGCACGTGCTATGTATGGGCTGTTCCTCAAAGGGGCCCTGTTCCGACATCCTGATTTGGCAAAAAACATGTGCTGATAGAAGGCCCTCCAAATTAGAGCAGCCCCGCATGGGAGTGTTGTTGTGCACCTTGTCGTCTGTGTGTATCAGCCGTGATAAAAGGCAAACTGACGCCAGAACTGCTGCGGCAGAGCAGGAAGCCTGTGATTGGCCCAGTCAGAAATGAGGTTCTTAAACCCGATAAACCTTTACAACCCTCTAAACCCAGACGCCCCGTGAAACAACCTTCAATCCCTATAAGCCCAACAAACCCGAACACCACTCAACTTTCAACCGTCCAAATTCTGGAAGCTCTCGACCTTCCAACATCCACAAGATCTAGTGTCAGAATGCCACATGGTGATGAGTGTGCACGTTTGATGCAACGGCAACATCTCGACACAAAAACTTTAGAAGATTCGGCATCGGTACAAGAGCTGCACGAACCTCTTTGTCTTTGTTTACGCTTCCGAACGAAGGCGTTGGTGAGGCCGTCTCGGGCTAGCTGCCCAGAGTCCTCCTCACTGGAAGCCTCGCTCCATCAAGCCCGGGCTTCGGAATTTGGCTTGCCAGGGATCAGGGTTTCGACTTTCAAAGCTCCGCGGATCGGGGGCGAGGCTGGTGAGTTCCTTTGGTCTTGCTGAGGGGAGTGGCATTGCTGAAACAGGCCATGTTACCCCCTGGAAGCAAAAGTGATTAGACTGGGTCAGCTTTAGAGCTTAAGTCAGCGTATACAACTCGGTGCACGAACCAAGGCAGAACACGTGCGAGGGCCAGGCGCGAGGCATCCACTTTCGAATCACAGCCTCATGCGAGAGTCTTGAAGCTTGTACTGGACATGTCATTGCCAGGTGCAAAGATTGGACCCTCACACTAGCAATGTTGATCAATTCGGTAATGCTGACAATTTTGTAGGCAATTTGCCTCGCAGCTGTCCATGACCCTTTCAACCTACTTACCTCCTGATGCAGGCTGCACACCTTCTCTCAGCATTCACTTCTCCGACTGCTCCGGGCTTAACATGGGAGACCTGACTCGTCTTCGGCGCGTTGACCCCAACGACCGCAGGGTGCTGGAGACGGTTGGTGGAGAGCGAAGAGCACCGTGGCAAAAAATGGCCCGCCAGAAAGCTGTAACCCAATCCCTGTAACCGCTCGGAAAAAACCCTGACTCCCAGCCACAAGGGTTTTTGCCTCCGAACATGGCGGCTCCCGGGAGGCGTCGTGAACATTCGGCCTCAGGGCTCCGAAGATTTCAGTTCGGGGCTTCGGGCTCCGGCCTTTCAAGGTTAGATGTCTTTACATGCATTGCCACTGCTCGGAAACCAGAAACTGCCTGAACTTGGGCCCGTGCAGGTTTGCTTCAAAGCCCCTGATGGCTCCCAACCCGAGCAACTGTAAGCTCAACCGACCCCTACAAGAATGGCCCTGCGTCCCAAACCTGAGCACGCTACTGATATTGCACTGCGCATTCCCAAGTACAGGCACTCATTAATGGAACAAAAACATGCTTCAAAATCCCATTGCCAGATTGGGACCAGCGCCTCGATACGTTGTAGCCTTAAATTAAGTCCCACATCTGACTATGTTGGCGGGCTTCGGCGCAACAAGCCAAAGTTAAAGATCGAAGTGTACGAGTACGAGCTGCAGCGGGGCTGAGCTCAATCCCAGTAGCCAAGCCCAACTTTCAACTCTCGATCTGGAGTGCTGTTTTGCCAGGTAGGAGTATAATGCGTTGTTCTGCTTATTCAAGCCGGTGGCAACAATTTGGGGGGAGTCTATAATGCGTTTTTTCTGGCCCGCTGATCCTTTTTCGGTTTGCTTCCTCCCTGAATCCTTTAAAGCCTCACCAAAGCCTCAAACCCTGGCCCTGAAACCTAGAGCTCTCCCTCAACCCGAACCCCCCTTTTAGCCTAAACCCTAAGAAACCCTCTTAACCCTAAACCCGACTACCCCTGAACGCTCCCGATCTACCGAAGCAAAGTCAAGGGGATCACGTGTACCGTGTAACATATGAAAGAAGCCGTGCAGGAATGGTGGGGCGGGGGGTGGGGGGGGGCTTAAACAGGGCTCCACATTACACCCCACGGCTGCGATACCTTCAATCACTGGGCGCTATGACATCAGGATCTCGGGAATCTCAGCGCCTGTTGCCCACCGCCCAGGGCCCGGACTCACGTTTGTAGGTCGTATTGCTGCGCACCGC